GGCCAGCAGCCTTGCCTTGGTGGAGTTTTTCCATCTGACTCTGGACCTGTCCTGTGCTCACAGTGAAGCGGGGGGGGGGGGCTTGATGGCAGGGGGGATAGAGGGGGGGGGGGTCTGAGGCAAGATGAGCAGAGGGGGGGGGGGGGGGTCAGCGGCAATGTGAGCAGAGGGGGGGGTGCAGAAGCCAGGCTGGGTGGTGGAGGAGAGGTGTGAAGTGTAGGTGGTGAGCAGAGGGGGGATGTTGACGCCAGGCTGAGAGGAGGAGGTGAGGTGAGAAGAGGAAGTGGAGGAGACAGCAGCGGGCGGAGAGCTAAACCTATTGAAGAAGGTGTTCAGCTCGTTGGCCCTCTCCAGGGTGCCCACAGTCAGTCTGTCTCTCCCTTTGAAGCCAGTGATAGCCTTCATCCCAGCCCAGACATCCCTGCTATTGTTCTGCTGGAGCTTAGTCTCCAGCTTCTTCCTGTACGAATCTCTGCCCCTCCTCAAATTGTCTCTCAGTTGATGCTGGATACTCTTCAGCATTGATTTGTCCCCAGACTTAAAAGCTTCCTTTTTCTTATTTAAAAGAGTTTTCAGGTCACTAGTAATCCAGGGTTTATTGTTGGGGAAACAGTTGACAGTTTTAGCCGGTAATATTGTTTGTTCACAGAAGTTGATGTATTCTGTGATGCAGTCAGTCATATTATTGATGTCCTCTCCATGTGGCACACAAAGCACGTCCCAGTCAGTGGTCTCGAAGCAGTCCTGTAGAGCCTCATTAGCCCCTGGAGTCCATTTCCTCACAGTCCTGATGGATACAGGCTGCCTCTGCACCAGAGGGACATATTTAGGAGCCAAAAAGACGAGGTTGTGGTCAGATCTGCCCAGGGGGGGGAGGGCAGTGGCACAATATGCATTCTTGGTATTTGCATATAGAAGATCCAGAGTATTATTTCCCCTGGTGGGGCATTTCACATACTGAGTGAATGTAGGCAGAGATTTGTCCAGTTTTGCACGGTTAAAATCCCCAGTTATTGTTATGAATGCATTTGGGTGAAGAGTTTGGAGTTTGGCCACAGAGGAGTGAATGACGTCACCAGCCACCTCCGCGTCCGCGTTCGGTGGAATATAGACAGCAACTACGATGACAGAATAAAGTTCTCTAGGTAGATAAAATGGACGTAATCCCACAGCTAGCAGTTCAATGTCCGGGCTACAGAAACGCTCCTTCACAGTAACATGTCCAGGATTACACCATCGTTCGTTCACATACAGTGCAATCCCTCCTCCTTTCTTTTTACCGCTCAGAATAACGTCCCTGTCCGCCCGAACACTCGTGAAGCCGGGGAGAGCCGTGTTATTATCCGGGATGAGCGAGTGCAACCAAGTCTCGGTAAAACACATGATGCTACACTCACGGTATTCCCACTGCGTCTTCGTCAGCACGCGGAGCTCGTCCATCTTATTCCCCAAAGACCTCACGTTCCCCATTATGATGGCCGGTACACAGGGTTTGTACCTCATCTTCTTCTTCATCCTCAGCTTGGCCCCAGCTCTGCAGCCCCGCTTGAGCCTCCGAAGCTCCTCCGGGATGTCATGCCTGGCTCCGGGCAGCAGCACGGGTCGGCACAGCGCAATCAGCTGCTCACGCGTGTAAACAATGCCATCACTCCTCTGAGCATGGCTCTCCGACACAAAAAGTGAAAAAAGTAGCAGAAGAATGACCAGAAAACGTTCGAAGTAAAACGTGGCCATAGTTCGCTGCAAAACAAAATAAATATCCAAAGAAAAAAGTACAACTAAGAGAATAAAAGTAAACAAAAAGACAAAGATCAATAAAACACCGGGAGCTGCATGCAACAGGCAGCCACCAGCACGGCGCCTTACGCAAAATCATGTGTATCATAAGAAAAGTAACACTATATGAAGTGTATTCCTTTTTTTAACTCAACATACGATACGATAATACTTTAATGGTCAGATCAAGTCTGAAATTGGACTTGCATCACAGCAGCTCCATGAGATACACAATGAAATCACTTTCTGTGTATCTGATTTATGATGTTAGATGCAGCTGATAAGACTGAAAAGTGTGTACTTCCTGGATGAGAAGGACATCAGCCATATCAGCCATTGTATTTATGCAGTATTCATATTCATTAGTTTTGTCATGCAAAGAGTCTCTTGTTTGTATGGCTGCCAAATGTAATTCAGATTGGTCACCTATAAGTGATCTGATGGCAGATCCGGAGGAAGTGTTTGTCAGTGAAGAAGTGAAGAGCTGTTGTATTTACACCCTGATGTAAGGACTCATGTGACATGCGAAACTCTATACAAAGCCACATTTGAAAAAGCTTTCTGCACAGTGTTTGAGTCATACAGGCTGCACTGTAACTATGTTTTAAAATGCTGATTGTTCTCAACAGAGACATATGCACACATATTAGTATAAGGTAGTGCAGCTAGGGTACCCTTTATACCAATTAAAACAGTCGATCCACAAACCCTTTATTTTTCTTACAATAAAATTATTAAACACTGTTGCTTGTGTACCATTTTAATATTTAGAAAAATAAATGATGCTTATCTATTAATAAAGATTTTACAAAACAACCCATTATAGGTAAGGTTATAATGCTCAGTGCAACTCATTTCTCAAGTATCAGCCTAATTGCATTCCCTCAACAAAACCACATTGTTATTATTTGTTTCTCTCCTGGAATAAATAATTACGTCTGAAAGCAGAAGTGTAGGGCAAATCATTGAAAGCAAATATTCAACAATTACACCAATTGTATTGTATATTATATTCTTTGCAAGCTCTTGCGGGCCGGATTTGGCCCCCGGGCCTTGAGTTTGACACCCCTGCTGTAGGTGGTTGTTAATTTAAAGGTAATCCATTGCTGCTGTGTTATCAAGTACTAATGCTGCGTTGATATTGTTCTGTGAAAAAAAAGATTGGATCATATGGATTGAGATCATGTCATATTTTCGATGTGACATTTGCTAGATGTTGTGCTTATTCCTCCTCTGTGCTGCTTATCAGCTGTATGAATAACACTGCAGAGTTTCTTAGTTTGGTTGGCTACAGAGTGAATTGTTTCATAAACCAGAAATTAATTCAGACATTTTGCGAATTGTGCTTTTCAATTGTGTGCAGTCCTGATAATCTGGGTCAGGCTTTAGTACTCTCTGCCAGACAAAGACAAAACTGGCACTTGATAATCTGTTAGGACAAAAGTTTGAAAATTCATTATTATCTTAATCTGATTTTCCTTATCTCATTTCATCTAATTCTTTCACTGCACTATGTAAATCCATTTCTGCCGCTTTCATTGACGCATTGTTTTGCTTTGTGAATCAACTTCATCTATTCTGCTGCCATCATTTGGATTGCTGATTCATTGTTTATCTCTTTCAAGGTTGGATCTCTTAAAAAAAAGGAGGATGAGTGAATAATGGAATAAGTTTCATGGATTCCTTATTAACTGGGATCTGTTTTCATCACTCTAAACTTTGCAGCATATATTGTAAATGGTCATAAATAGTGTTGATGAAATTTCACCTTGAAAGAGCATTTTACTTGTCTCAAAACTAAGTCATTGTTTGTTCGAAATCATTTATATTCAAGAAGGTCAGTAGAAATCGCAAGCATTAACCTCATATTGTACTCTGGATTGAGCCAGTCAATTGTTTAATGCAAGGTTTAAATTCCTAACAAATTACAGCTGCCGTAAGGGAATGTGATTTTCAGCCTTCTGTGTGATCCCTGTCACATTTGCCTGGACCCCTACGTGGAAACACATTTCTTTGTTCACCCTCAGGCATTTCTGCTTAGAATTTAAATTCTGTAATTGGAGAATTAATGGAGTCAGTAATCAAGCAATTAATCAGTAGTTACAGAAACAGCCTGCCCGTATTTACGTGAAGAGCTTTCTGTTTCAGAGTAGGCTGTATGTTGATAATACTGTTTAGAAGCAGAAACTACTGTAATCCCACCACAGTTTTTATATTCTGTTCAGAAATTGCTACAACTGTTTTACTCCTATACGTTTGTATATTCACATTGTTATTGTCTCTTTGTGTGTTGTATTCACCATTAACCTTTGTGTTCTTTCATGTCCTCATTTGTGCAATTTGAAGGATCAGTGCTGAAAAATGATCCTTTTCAAAATGTCATAATCCCTTTAAAGTCCCATGTTTCTAAATGTGTTAATTTGTGTTCACAGTGTCAGTGACAATTGACTCCTGATAACTTTGCTTACTTTTGATTACCTTTTCTAAATATGACAGCTGTTTCACTTTATTCATCACACAATCCAAGAGAAACCATGCATCTCATACTGTACTGTGTGATTACTCTGTTTCTAGATTAAATGTATGTGTGTAACTGTCTGTCATATTTACTGTATCAATTTGCAGCTAAACAACAGTGTTTATTATTGTCATTTCACCTCTGGTTGTAACTCTAGCACTTTCTGTTGAAGATCAAATATGTTTTCCTTTATGTTAACATTGGTTTTCTCAATGTGCTCCACTCTCCTCCCACATTGAAAAACATTCAGGTCAGGTAGATTAGAGGCTCTATAAATGTTTTTTTGTATCTGTGCTAGCTCTGTGACTCACTTCAGACCTGCACAGTGTTTTTCCCTTTCGCTTAAAGAGGCTGTTTGTCCAACAACGATGACAAATAATATGTAATACATCCACCAGTTTTACAGGAAGCAAAACAACATTGAGGTGGTCAGAACTAACAAATTACTTACTCTACAAGGTAGATATATCCTAGGTTGACAGTGCAGGGAGGACAGTGTGCCCAGAAACAGAGATGGATATGAGGCATTCCAGCTGCAGCTGACTCACAAACCTAAATAATTCATTTAGGTCCAAACATTATAATTATTTTTTTTCAGAAGTGTTTATACAATTCTCAAAAAATGTATGTGGTAATTATTGATAATCTCTACAATTCTACAGTTTCTAATGTGTTTCCCTTTCGTTTTGTCTCTCTTTCATTCCAGTGAGCCCCAATCCTCATTCCAAAGAGTGAAAGACCAGTCAATGAATTATGAATGTTAAACAAGATGACCTCCTATCAGCAGCAGCAGACGATGCGAGGTCCTAGGTGGAACCGGGCCTTGTCCGACCCTTTGTTTGTGCTGCTTCTGGCCCTCCAGCTGCTGGTGGTGGCAGGGCTGGTACGTGCTCAGACGTGCCCCTCTGCCTGCTCCTGTAGTAACCAGTTCAGCAAAGTCATCTGCACCCGACGAGGCCTGCGGGAAGTCCCTGATGGCATCTCTACCAACACACGCTACCTGAATCTGCAAGAAAATCTTATTCAGGTCATAAAGGTAGACAGCTTTAAGCATCTGAGACACCTGGAGATCCTGCAGCTGAGCAAAAACCACATACGCAAAATTGAGCTGGGGGCTTTCAATGGACTGGCCAGCCTCAATACCTTGGAGCTTTTTGATAACCGCCTCACCACTATCCCAAACGGGGCATTTGAATACCTGTCCAAACTAAAGGAGCTTTGGCTGAGGAATAACCCCATAGAGAGCATTCCCTCCTATGCTTTCAACAGAGTGCCCTCATTGCGGAGGTTGGACCTTGGGGAGCTCAAGCGACTCTCATATATATCTGAGGGGGCCTTTGAAGGGCTGAGCAATCTGCGCTACTTAAATCTGGGAATGTGCAATCTGAAGGAAATTCCCAACCTTATTCCCCTGGTGAAGCTGGATGAACTGGAGATGTCGGGGAACCAGCTAACTGTCATCCGACCCGGCTCTTTTAAAGGGCTCATCCATTTGCAGAAGCTATGGATGATGCATGCCCAGATCCAGATAATAGAAAGGAACTCTTTTGATGACCTGCAGTCACTAGTGGAGCTCAATCTAGCCCATAACAATCTTACCCTTTTGCCCCATGATCTATTCACCCCTTTACATCACCTGGAGAGGGTGCACTTGCACCACAACCCGTGGAATTGTAACTGTGACATCCTATGGCTAAGCTGGTGGCTTAAGGAGATGGTACCAGCAAACACCAGCTGCTGTGCCCGCTGCAGCTCTCCATCCAACCATAAGGGAAGATACATTGGCGAGCTGGACCAGAACTACTTTCACTGTTACGCTCCTGTTATTGTGGAGCCCCCCACAGACCTAAATGTGACAGAGGGAAGTGCTGCAGAGCTGAAATGCAGAGCTAACTCCTTGACCTCGGTGAGCTGGATTACACCCAATGGTTCCGTCATGACACATGGCGCTTACAAGATCCGAATCTCAGTGCTGAATGACGGAACTCTGAACTTCACTAATGTTACCATGCAGGACACAGGCACATACACATGTATGGTCAGTAATTCTGCAGGTAACACAACAGCCTCTGCCACGCTCAATGTGTCCTCTACAGAGAACAGCAGCTTCAGCTACTTCACCACAGTGACAGTGGAGACCATAGAAACACCACATGAAGGCTTCACCACCGCTGTGCAACAGAAAGTGGGCCCTACACCTTCTGCTGGTACGTGGGAGTCTGTTTCACTGACCTCTACAACGACCACCACAGTCCGGACCCCACTGTCCACACGTGCCACAGAGAAGACTTACACAATCCCTGTCACGGAGCAGGGCGGGGAGGATTCGCTGAACGGTTTGGATGAGGTAATGAAGACGACCAAGATCATCATTGGTTGCTTTGTTGCAATCACACTCATGGCAGCGGTGATGCTGATCATCTTCTACAAGATGCGCAAACAGCACCACCAGCAGAACCACCACCCAACCACTCGCACCATTGAGATCATCAACGTGGACGAGGACTGTGTAACAGGGGGCCCGGGCATGGAGGGCCACCTGACCCTGCCGCCTCTTGAGCATGAGCACCTCAACCATTATAACGCATATAAGACTGCATACAACCATGCCTCCACTATGAACTCCATACACAGCTCAGCGCACGAACCTTTGCTAATCCGGGCAAGCTCAAAAGACAATGTACAAGAGACCCAGATCTAATTTCTTTTTTTTTTTCAAAATGAGACATTATAAAACTTGGAATAGCATAATGGAAGGACATTACTGACAGCTGGTTGTGTAACTGTGGCTAGAACACGGAGGAATAGACGTGTGTGTTTGGCAAATCAGTGGCTGGTGATGTTTATTCAATGACTTTGGGAATTAGGGTATGTCTACTGTTTCAAAAAGTGTCTTTACAAAACAGAAGTTATTTATTTAAGAAAAAACTATTGTGGTTAAATCAAGAAAAAACTGTATTCTGCAATTATTTTTTCAGCACCAAATTTTAGTTTTTTTGCCCTTCCTCTCATTTCACAGATTGGTTTACTAATATGCTTTTCAAACTCGGTTTGAAGACATCTGTTGAAGAAAACCTCCTAAAGTAAATTATTGTTCTTATTGGTAAACTGCTGTATTTGGATCAGATGAGATAGCAACTTCATTTCCCCATGTATCAAAGGAATCTAGACCACATTAGTGATTTTCTCCTGCTGTGGATTAAGTGATGACATCTTTTGTGACCATCTGTAATTGAGATTAATCAAACACTTGCTCATTTTTTATAGTAAGTGACAGAACTCTCAGTGATGAAATTTGATCATAATTAACTGTTTAATTATATCTGTCACATACATATAAGGCATTCTCTGCTCTGTCATCAATAGACTGAGGTTTAAATAAAGGAACTGTGTCCTGCGTTCTGCTGTTGTAAAAGTCAAGGGTGACTATTAGAAGTGCATTTTAGTTAAATTAAATTCTATTGATTTACTCTGAAGAAAAAAAACACATTTGTCTTTGTGTTCCTAATCTCAACTTGCTTTGACTCCAGTTCTGGTAGACGTCTTCTCATTATAATAAAGAACATTCCATTAATTGCATTAAGACTAATTTATATTCTGAGGGCCATGATCCTCGAGCACCATTAACAGGTACTTTAGATTCTTCATAATTGTGATTGCAAAAATAGGGAAATCTTGAATATAGATGCTGTTGAATTCTGGCAATAGTCCACTTCCTGTTTCCAATATATCATGGCCTCACTCTTTCCTTTCGGTGCTTTGTATTGTGGCATATGCAGATGATTGCTTTGAAGCCACCTTTTATATGCTGGGACCCCTTACCTCATATGCACTACTGCAGGAGTGCTGTCAGAAGCAGTCTGATGGAGTGAAGAAAAGATCTTAAACCCTTTTATACAACTGCCTGAGCACATTGCCTGTCATCTTTGTGCCATATTTCCACACGGACTGTGCCTGGCAGCCCCAGATGTACACCCTGCCCCTGCCAACCGAATGACTTGGCCCTGGGCAATGGGGCTTATGCTTTAGGGGTGAATGTGTGGGATTGGGCATCAACCAGATGTTTGGGTTGCACCTGCCTCTCTCCCTTTGCGACAACACAATTTCCATATTAATTGATGTGTCCATGGGCTTTGGAAGAACACGGCTCTGCAGGCACCCATCCACTGGAAACCATTTGAAAGTTTCCACTGTAGAAAAAAGTGTCAGGCACCAGAGGTTAGGCAGACATTTGTCAGATCCAAAACTGAGGGAGATGCCCCAAGGTTTATGTTTGAGGGAATAATGGCAGGTATTGCTTCCTTTACAGTAATATGTAATGAGAGGTTAAGCCATTGTCACACTTAATTCAGTTTGTGTTTAATTATAGATAGATATTGGTATGCACCTTCTTTGGGGTCACCATGAACTCCACTAACAGAATGACAGAAATGGTGGATACACAGCAGAAATAAAGTATCAACATATCAACTGAAACATCTGAAAGACCCAGCTGCATACTTTAATATCTGCTGTCCACTTGTATGTTCATTTGGTTTCAAAGAGTAACATTTTACCATTTTGTTTGCTAAAATAGAACACTGTCAAGCTTATATGCTGTATTTTTGTTAGTCCATGCATGTTACAGCACCCACTACCCGCCCTTCTAGAAGTCAAAACCACACACAACCATTCTGGCTCGCCTTCCTCTGATCATCTTTAAACAAAGCAGAGTACAGATGAGTTTAACAACAGTTCACTGTCCCACATTGCATAATAAAGACAATGAAACTAAATTAAATCTATCTATAAACCTATTACAGCCAGCTTTAAAGCCTACATGGATTGAGTGCTTTATACTCTAAAGGATTTTTGACCTAAAAGACAAATAGGCTTCTTCCCTTAGCTTAGTCAGTATTTTCCAAGTTGGGAGAATAAATGAGAAACAGTAGCAGTCCTCATGACTAGGATATGAACTATCATGGCTAGGATATGAAAAGTGAAGTAAATTGAACAACAAGATAATAATCTAAAGCACTATTCCCACAATACTCATGAAAGCAGGGCTCCTACTCTGTGATACAATTAATTGCATAGATAATATTGGGGTTAATAATGATGTAATCTGGTAAGTAAACATTTCAATAACACTTCACATTTCACCTCAGGTCAGTCGATAATTATAGTCCCATAGGAAACAGCAGCATTTTATTTCTTTTTTTCCAGCACATTTTTCTTCTTCTGCCATGTCAGAAATGTTGGAAGTCTTTCATGGAGATTATTAATTGGAGCTTTAAAACTATCTGGGATGCAAATTAAGGAGGTTATCGTATCCACTCAGTATGGAGACCCACTAATCAATTTGCTTATCAAGATATTTTTGGAGATGTTTCATTACATTGATTTATTCACTTTGAATGTGCTGCATATAAGATTAATGTGGGGGGTAGATTCTTAACATGGGGTCCCCAGATAGTGTAGTCCATACGGAATGATATAATTGATTACCCTGTATCAAGCTTTCGCCATCACCCCCTTACACCATTTTCCCCAAAATGGCACTTCTGTGGAGTTTGGCACATTTGTAAACCATAGAAAGACATGGGTTTGTGTCCATTAGTCTGTGTTTGAGTTCCTAGTGGTGGGATGTGGATCACAATTCTGCTCAGTTTACATAAGAGTGTTACCATCCTCCCTTTTTGCCTTTAGTTGGAGGTAAATTGTCTGAAAATTTAAATGGTAAATTTGTTGCATTTTAGTCGAGCTGTCTCATGTATGTAAGATATCTAAATATTGTTGGTCAATATTATTTTGTTCACATTATTTTCTTTTTTTTCTGAGAGGGAATGCTGTTTTAGTGGTAGATTTATATTAAAAATACATTTTGAGAATAAAAACAAAAACATTTTGATTTTACATGTGCCAACAACTTGTTCTAAAAGTGAAAACGAGAAAAATGCTGTATAAGAATATCAGATTGATTTTCATGTAAACATTCTTTCATGACCTTTAAAAGATATGGAGATCAATCATAGAGACCAGAGTTTGTAGTTCATACACAAAATATGGTTAAAAATAAACTATTGTTGTTTTTCTGTATTGTCTGATTCTTGCTTTCACCCCCTGTGCCACGAGAGTATTGATAGAGATACAACATTGAAATTCTCATAACTAAACTATTAAATAGTTACAGATGGAGCATCTTATTTCAGACTCCAGCTTACTGCTTCCTGCCTACTACCAGCCAGTTACCTGCCTAAGACCTGCCAAAGACCAGTATCTGGGAATGTTAAGCCCTCCCACTATTTTCCAAGAGGGCGTTGCCAGATTTTCAATTTCAGGATTTAACCAGGAGATGGCGCTATATATTATTGGCCAAACTAAGACTTAGTTTTTCACAAGAGAAAATGCAGATATTATATAAAAAACTAAAGTTAAAATCTTGTTTTTAATGCCCCAAGAGCAATACAAACACTTGTTAAAAAAATCCTGAGTGAGGCTTTCATAAATTGCATTTAGCTGACGCTTTTATCCAAAGCGACTTACTATTTAATAAATGATAAATGATTATTCATAACAAATATGAGTGATGTGTGATTATTATTCATGCTATATACTGATATAGGGCTAAGTAAGCAATCAATCCTGCAAATGAACCCTTAGTTGTTCAATATATTTATTCAGACAATGTGAGTAGAAATACAGAAATTCTGCTCCCACCTAAGGCCAACGTTGCAATATTACAACATTTACCTAAAAACTTACCAAAACGTAAACATTTTTAAAACTCTTTCATTTCTGCTCCAGAGGCCAGGGGTTAAATTGGGATTTGATATGTGGGGGGAGAGAGTTAGACGCTCGTGAATTGTGAACGGGGGGGGGTTGACATCAGAGCATCGTCCTATGGGCTTAGCCCCGGACAGGTACAACAGGTATTCACTCAGAGGGGGGTAGGTACTAAATGCCACCCATTTACATGTAGGCAAACAAAATCAACATACAGTAGGGGGGTGGGGGATGGTGGTCAATGTTTGTAAACACAATCCCCAGGATGTGTCCTTATCAAACCAAAATAGAAAATGCAGATATTACACTCAGACATTGGAAAAGTCTATGTTAAAAAGCCTCAGTCACCTTAATTCATGTAATAAAAACATCTCAGGTCAGTAACACTGAAAGCTAAATGTGCAATACCATGTTCAGCTATGTTACTATTTATAATGTTATTGTTGTTACAACAGAAGATGTTTTTCTTTATATTGAAGTTAAATTCATCAATCTGGTGCACTTTGAGGTCAAAATTAAGAGATTTATGGATACCGCTGGAAAAAGCTGCATATGCCGAGCCTGTACGTAGCGCTGTAACTTCCTCCACAAAAGCAGCCTTCTGTTTATTCAATGTGGTGGGGGCCGAGGGAACCAGAGTTTTTCGCCGGTCAACGTGTGTGAAAGTTTAAATCTTCCTTATTGAGCTTTAAAACAAATGAATAACGACTATATATAATAATAAAATAAACACCGGCTGTTGTTATGCCTGCTGTAACGTTAAATTACTCCGTTCTCCGCTTAAGTAATTATGCCGTTACAAGCTTCATAGTTGTATTTATCATCTAAATTTGCCGAAACAAGTTTAATATTCTGAAAGCCAAGACTTTGTTTATTTGAAATCAGATGAAAACAAACTGTAACGGACCCTGCCGTGTTATCTTGATATTTCCGGCACAGACCCTTTCATACCGGCAATGCGCGATAGAAACAACAGGAACTGCGACAGCATAAATATGCGAACACAAACCTACAGACTGCTGGAGAAGAGATATCACAGGGGGGGGTTGGGACACACACATTCCGATGGCCAATTAGTTTTAAACAAAGAGTATAGCCTACTCAACATAGGGGGGTGGGGGCTGGTGAACGGTATGGTCAATGTTTGTAAACACTGTGACATTTTGACTTTATTTGATCATTTCAGTTAAAAACTAACGTTCATATTTCTCTTTTTGAGAAGAGAAATATGAATATGTTAGTGGCTGACCCAGCCCCATGGTCTGTTACAGTAGTGCGGGAAAGAGAAGTGCACTGTTTTGCCTGGCTGGACCTGTAATTTACAGGAAAGGAGTGCACGCTACTAAAGAGACACGCTACCATGGAAACCAAACAATGGTGTTGCTGTATTGAAGTCCGAGTGGAAACAGTCATATTTGGAGCGTTATGTTCCAAAGCCAGGACCCAGCCAGGTCGTGACTCACAAAAAAAAAGTGTTACTTCACTAACTGTACGCTTGTCACTCAGAGTAACCTACAGTTAACTTAACTGTTGGAAAAGAAAGATCAGAGGGGGGAGAGAGCTGTGGGTGATGGGCCATTAGGTGTGTAAACACACAGCTGAGAGCTGCCGTTTCATTCTGACTGTTTAAAAAACGGTAACAACAGACTATTTTTCTTAGCGGACGCATGTCAATTTAAATAAATACATACAACTATTTTTTAAATCAATAAAAACATTTTCTAAATCCATAAAAGCATTTCAATTAATATTGGGAGTCATGTCGTTACTTTGTTGAGAATGTGGCCATGTAATAAGCGGGATAATTTGCAGCGACTTGGTCATTATGGGGAAAAATAACACCCAGGGATCAAGATCCCTCCGCTACGCGGATCTTGATCTGCCTGACAAGGCTCCATTAAAATATAAATATTTTTAGTGAATTACTGAGTTTAGGCACGTTAATAACGTTTTAATGAAGTTGAATACAGTATATTCATATTTGTCAGTGATTTCATGTCAATTCGGCGAACATAAACATAAATGATCGTGGTGAAGATGATGATTAAATTAGGATTAAAAATCGAGAGCCGGCTGCATTTCCTCTCGTTCGTTTTTTTCGACTAAACAACATTATTTTGTTAAATAACAACATGGTGATGTTTTGTAAATGATTACATGTCTTATTTAGCACAGACTATGATCCTATCCGTGACATATGGATCTTAACAAAGATCCGCTATACATTAGTACCAGACATACTGTACATCCAGTTTACTGTATCGAAGTTGATTTCACATGAGCTCCAGTGTGGAACCCCACTGCACCCCCTGGTGGATCAATGATCCATTGCAGCTGGCTTCACAATAATTAAATGTATTTATCACGGGGGCGGTATCAAGTCAGACTGGGGGCCGGCTCTTCATCACGAACCGATCACGGACCAATCACAGACCAATCACGACCCTCGCGTTTCAAACTGTCTGAAATAAGATGCTCCATCTGTACAATGACATTATTGCAATTTGCATTTCAATTGCTCAGATTATTATTTCTTTATGAATGTGTCAAATCAAAATTAGCAACAATTCTGAATCTTTGAGGTAGTGATTTCATATTTTTCTACCTATTTATAATACATGGTGGTAGATTCATTTTGTAGATTCATAGAGTGCCACAGTGACGCGTCATAAAACCCTGAAGTAAACTCCTTCCGGTTCCTTCGACAAAAACCAATGCAATTTCTCCATAGAATTTTTACCCTACTTTTATAATTTTCGAATCATAAATCTAATCGATAGATTTATGATCGATAGATTTATGATTAGAAAATTATAAAAGTAGGGTAGACATGTGGATATTATCCGGCTGAACAAAACGTGATCTGTCTCTTAAATTTGTGTCAACCACAGACCTTATTTCCAGCTATTTTCCAAAATCCTATGGAGAAATTGCATTGCTTTTTGTCGAAGGAACCGGAAGTGGTAAAATGCTAACTTACTTCCGGGTTTTAGGACACGTCACTGTGGCACTCTATAATGATGATGCAACTCATATACTTTAACACACAGATCAACCCATATAGCACATGGCAACCAGAATTATTTCAGCAAGTACAAGGATAGTGCAAGCATTCATCTACCATTGTCCTACCATTGCTCTAGGGACATACTGTAGTGACATGAAAAGCCATGAAGACCATACAATGTTGAGTATACGAGACAATTTATGATGCACCGCACTACTGATACACACGGTACACTTACCGTCTTATTCTGTTATTTCCTTACCTTTAAAATGTAAGTACTCAGCATTCCTATAACTTATAAGAAAATATGCATTTTCTATCTGATGCTTTTAATCAATATATGTGTCTTACTCAAGCACTCAAAGAACATTTAATGACATTAATTAGTCATGTCATTTTAAAATCTATTGTAATATTGTGTTATCTCATGGATAGCTAATACAACTGTATTAGTAAAACATTATTTGATTGTGATCTTATCCTGACCAGATTTAAGAGTAAGACAAACAAGAGGATTGCAAATTTCAATTAATTTCTTCATCATTAGCATCCCTGAGCTTTGTTCCACTTGATAATTAGCCAACTGACATAAGATTGTGATAATCACATGATTAAGTCATATCACAAAGTACAAGGCAACAGTAAATATTTGGACTAAAGAGTAATACTATCCTCTTCGGGCCAATCATTAGAAAGTAAAAGACAGCAATGGTGAAGTGGTGGATCAATCGCTTCATATATGAAAGCACATTAACATTTTAGTTGAAATTATAATCTAAGAGTTTAGTCAAAGTCAAACTCAAAGTCAGCTTTATTGTCAATAATTCTACATGTGTTATACATACATAAATTTGACATACCGTTTCTCGCAGTCCCACAGTGTGACATATATGAAGCTCAGCGCAAGTTCTTTCAGGAAGACTGGTATACGTTCACTACGCAGCTGCTTATAATCAGCTCATCACGGGCTTTCTGTTAACCTATTACATTCACCTCAATCTCCAGCAGCCAATCATCGTGCTGCAGCCAAACATTAAAATGGTTCTCCTCTCTCCTGCAGTCAGCGTGATTTCAGATTGTAATGCTGCCGACCACCTCCTCCCCATCCACCTCCTTTCATCATATCCAGTGCCAGGAGAGCCAATCCAAAGACCTCATCACATCCCGTCTTCATCCCATCTCCTCATCAAATCCAGATCTTCAGCATCATCACCAGTGTCTAGACCCTGGGGGGGTTCCCTATGCTCACGGCTGCATTTCCCCCTTTAGATATACGATTTCAGGATCGGGGTCTAATCGCC